TATATATAAATCATATTAAGTAATTTGTTAATTAATTTTTTGTTTTTGTTTTGTTTTTTTTTTTTTGTTTGACAAATTTGAATATATATTTGCATTTTTTATGAATTTTTTTTAAATGCAATCGCTACCTAACAAGGGGATTGCATCAGATACTTGGGGCAATGTCTCAGCTACAAGGTTGAGAAACACTGTGAGCGATAGAAGAATTGTAACTCCTGAAACAAAAGAATTTCGTTTGATAAAATACAATTGAAATAATGAGACACGAAATTATAAATTAGATAACGTATGTGTGTAGTTTGTTGTGACGTAAATGAAACTTAAAAAACAGACATATTCAAGGGCATTTTCACAAGTTTGTTGTTGTCCTAGTTGTTCTTGTTGTTGTTATTGTTGTTGGTGTTGGTATTGGTGTTGAAGTTGTTCTGATTGTAGTTGTTTTTTAATTGTGTTCATTTGTTGACATAGCGTTAGAGATTCGTTTTCCGTTCAGCCGTTTGTTAAGTTTCTTTGTTCTTGTTGCGCTCGGTAATTTTGTAGTATTTTTTCATGGCTGATCAAATTTTTTGCTTTTTAGTATCTACTTTAAGTAGTTGCATTGATATCAATTTAATTCTCAATGAAGTGTGCTGGCATGTGATGAGTATATGCTTTTTGTATATGCTTTAAAACTCAAAATCGTGGAGGGCGGGCCAAGGGCTCCAGGGAACTGGGTCACAACTGAAGCGTTCGTAAAGTGAGGAATCATTTGTCTGGGGCTTATAAGTATATGTACACACAATTCATAAATAATACCAAACAGTTGGTTTAAGCTTCATCATAGTTGATTAACTAGCAAGTCATGTTGAGAAAATTTGAGAAGAGAAATAAATTAAAGCGAAGTTTATATGTGGCATATATTGGAAGACTTCAAAATTATTTATATATTTCTACTCTCTTGAGTCTCGGAATATTGGTTTTTTAAAGCTTAACGCTCTGTCGTTAGTATTTATGAGAACCCCTATTTTATTTAACTATTTCCTTAAACTGTAAAAAGGGATGTGCTAAATATTTGAAAAATATTTACGCGCTTGGTATAGTTGATCGTAGATAGATCTTAAGCATGAACCAGCTGGAACGTGGAACACTTAACATGTTATAAAAATGTTCATATCCTAGTACCTAGATTAGACATAATAAGAATAAAGATCGTACCATATTACAGGTCGCATCATTTTCCAAAATAAGTGTTGCGTTGATGCATAAAACTCTTCCTTCTCGATCAGATTATATTTAAAAAAAAGAGATATGTATCTCTTCTTATCTTTCCATATTAATAATCTTCAATTATATTTACGTGGTTAAATTTCAACTTTACAACCTTCTAGCCCTCCTTAGGCTTTGGGTTAAAGGTGTCATCAACTTGTGCACACTGACACAAGTACTAAACATTTTGACACAAATTTTCACAACACTCTGCGTAAAAGAATGTTTTTCATTTTGCTCTTTTTTTCTCTTTATTTTATTTTATTCTATATTTTTTTTTTGGTAGTTTGCTCAACTTTTCAAAAGCTTAATGGTGGTATAAGGTGCACATCCTTCCAACTTTTACCCATTACTTTGCGCTTAGAGGGGAAGGAGGAAGGAAGGAGATGGGGGTGAAAAGTTAGTGGCAAGTGGCAAGTTTTTGCCGTTACTTAAATGAGGAGAATTTGTAAATTGAACTGAAGCTTGCGCTCGACTCGAACTATGCCTTGTCTTGGCAATGAGTTTGGAGCGCTACGTGTCACCAATTTGCCACGCCCACAGAGCAGGCAGCGTGCGTCTCATTTAATTTGGGACGTGCAGCCCCGGTTAAATGTCGGTCCAATGGGCAATACTTGGGAAAAAATTTGCGCACTGCATGCAAATTATTTTGGTTTTGGCCCCTCAACGCTGGGCATTTGGTTGGAAGTGTCTAAGGGTTAAATATATAGATATTAACATATATATAAGTATATATATTTGTTTAATAAATGACATAATATGGAACGCATGATGAGCGATACGATATTATGTGGAGTTGCAAGTCTACCATCTGGTCAAATGGATCTGCATAAATGCAAGTTCAAATGTTGCGCTTTGAGTTTTGTCTTTTCTTTTTTAAGTTTCAGTTTAGTTGGGTTCGTTTAGCGGGTGGCGAGTAACTGTTTATAAGACGGGAATTTACAGGTGCATAAATGTGGAGTTTTTTTTAGAGCAAATATATATAGAGCATATATATATAATTTGTTTAAATATTTGAGCAAATAAATTTACTGGAGTGGCTGTTTTTCTTTATAATTTTTGGTGAGTGTTTTGTGTTTATGTTTTCATAGTTATTGTGCAAGTACAAAGAGTTCTTGCCAAAACGAGACAGTTTGCGAGAGAGAGAAAGAGAGATAGATAGTAAGAGATAGAGAGAGAGAGTAAATGAGTGGGCAAGTGTCTTTTGGTTTATGGCTAAGACTCGTTTGAGCTACGCTTTTGTTTATATTTTTGGGGCTTTTAGCCTGGTTTGTGGCATGCGCTTTTCAGTTTTTCATTGTCGTTTTCTTGCGTTGAGAGTTCTGCTCGTTTGTTGTGGTTCTTGTGTGTGCTTGTACTTACGTCAGTGTGTATGTGTGTCTGTGTGTGTGTGTGTCTGTGTGTATTTTATTTACAGTTATGTTTGTTAGGCAATTTGTCTATTGCCTGCTTACAGCTAAAAGAGTATTTAAAAAGTCCAATAAATAATACTCGTATACCTACCAAAAAATTCTACAAAGCATACAAATTTTTGTATTTTGCTTAGACTAATTTATATACATATATTGTTGATATTGTTCGAAATATATATGTGAAAATGTTTTGATATTTTGTTTGCCTAAAGTTCTTGTTATTTTTTTCCTCTCTACTTTACCAAGTATCAAAATGACAATTGGCTACGTTTTGCCTTTTTCATATGTATGTGATGCCTTCTCCAATACAAACCTTTACCAATATATATATTTATATTGCGTTTTGTTGTTGTTTTAGCAATTGATATGCGTTATGGTTGTTGTTGTTGTTGTCGTTTAATGCATACAAAATCATAAATATGTATATATATTTATAAGTCTATGTTTTTTTTTATACATATTTTCAAGCTAAACTGGACTTCGTTAAATTAACTGGGCTATGTGTTATTAAGTTTTTGTTTGTTCTATTTTCCAATTTCTTTTTGCATTGACAGTCGCAGTGCAGGCCATGAAAATAAGAGCACTGGCTCTACAATTCCCTTTGTTTAAATTAATAATTTCATGAAAGAATCTTACTTGGAATTTAAATTAATTTTGAAGATTTAATACACAATTTTATTTAGATTTTTTAATAAATTCTCCTTTACTTAAACTGTCTTTTAAAGCACCCTTTGATTGCCTAAGAAATGCTCTATTCCCATGACCTGAGCTGTAGACTTATTCAAAATCAAATTGAAATATGCACAATTGCTTCTTTTTCGATTGTTGTTTATTTATGTTTTTATCTGACTGTTTTGTTGGCTCAGTTGATGGCCGTTTTGTTGGTTGGTTGAAATATTTGGTAGCGAAAAAAGGTTATTCGTTGGATTTTTCATAGTTTGTCTATTTGCAATTCAACTATTTTTTTTTAGTATATATCTAGCTAGTATATTTTAATTGGGTTTGTTCTACGTTTAAAGGTTGCTATTATTAATAGTTAGTTGATGATTTGATTGTTCAGGCAATTAAATGCGACCCGCCTGATGTGAAGTTTTATATGATACACTACTCTTATAGAGAAGCTTATTTACATGATGAACGTATTGGCTTTGGTTTATTAAATTATGGTTATTAGTTTGCTTTTTTTTAAACAAGTTTTTAACAGGCTAAGAAACACAGAAGTAAACTGAAAAATGTAACAAAATGATATTGTACATGAAAAACAAATATCAGCTAGCGGCAAACACGTAGAGAAAACAAACAAACCGACAGAAACATCAAAAACTGATAAAACTAAGTGGGTAACGGGATTAACATACGCTTTTTGTTTTTCAAACAGCAAATGGAAATGGAAAAACATAAAACTTTTCGTTGCGATTCGAATATGAAATTATATGGTACGTGTCTGGTTTAGGTTTAGTGGCTTAGTAGCTTAGTGATTCGTGATTCGTGATTCGTGTTTCATGATATTGTGAATAGTGTTGGGAGCGTGTTGTGTTGTGTTCAGTGTTGTCAAATACCAATTATGTCAGAGCTTTTGTCGCGCGATTATGTTTCTAAACTACTAAGAGATCAGCTGAGCAAAGAATTGTGATAAGAATAAAAAGTTAGCAGTTGATCAAAGTATAAGTTAAGAATAGTAAATATAATTTTTAAATTTGTCAGCTAGCATTAGAGTAAGAAGAAGATGAAGAAAACTAGCTGCAGCTGCACTTTTTAGGTACTTTACATTGTTAGACAGAGGATAGATAGATTATAAGACAGACTGTTCGGTGTAGGTAGTTTATTTCTTTTTATTTTGGAGGTGTTCTTTTATTTTGGTAGGTGTGCTGCTTGTGTGTTGTTTCGATATTGAGGCTATTGCAAAGGTCTATCCAAAAGTTCCGGCGGAAAGAGAAGTTTTAGCTGGCCTGAAACTGAAATATTTGTTATGTGGCACACAGTTACAAGTCCAGAAGTTGATAGTAATATCTATTTGCAAACAAACGTACAGAATTAGGATATATCTAACATATAGCAGATATCATTCGCCATACGATTCAGTGTGTGTGTGTGTGTGGGTGTGTTGGTGTAAATTAAAGATCTAAATAATTGGTATTTTTTCTTGTTTCTGATTTTTTTTTTTTGTTTTGGTTTTGTTTTCTGGTTTTTGTTTTGTTTTCATTGCACTACTGTAGTAAAACTAATGACAACTAAAAACAGCATTAGGACACAGCACTCATCTGTCGATAAGTGTTATGGAAGCTTTTTTGTATTTTATTCGGGACTTTTTTAAATAATTGTTTAATAAAAATGTGTGTGTACCTATAAGAGGAACAGCATCCGACGTTGTCGGCATTGACTCAGCAACAAGGTTTAGAAATACTGTTAATGATAGTAGTATAGTTACGCCTGGAACAAGAGATACAATAAATACGTATATCAAAAAAACAATTTGAAATAATAAACTAAATGACTGAAAATATCAAAGATAAAAAGTAAGAAAGTATTATTCAAAATATTTATATATTTGCAATAAATTTTGCGTTTACTCGTTTAGGTTAGATTTAAAGTTTTGTTTTTCGGTTTGTTTGGATGAATTTTTTAAAGAGGTCGTTTCTTTTAAGGAAGCCTACAACTTTTGTTGTAGATCTACATCTTTTAATTAGCATGTTCAGAGTGCTGCCTCTTATGATAACTATATTATAGTAATATATAAGATCAAAGCAGTGGGGCGAAGGGCAGCACTCCGTTGTTTAATTTATTTCAATTTACTTCATTTTAGAAATACTGGAAAAATAAAACATGCATTTGTTAAGTCTAGACTAGCTTTTAAAGCAGCGTTCATAATATACTTGGGGTTTAAGTTTGCGAGCTTTTAATGGGTAGTTAAATATGGTTAAATCCAGCTAAGCCTCATTTCGCTACCGCTGCTTTACCTGACCAAAATTATATATATCAATACATGTATATATATATAGCCTAACTTTGTATACGATATCGTATTTGTAGTACATTTATCACACGCTGAAAAAACTTGCAAAATTTGTTTTATATAGATATCATATATCTGGTCATTGGGGGGCAATCAGTGTTGTAAAGTTTTCAATTTCATTTTCGTTTTCATTTTGGTGCAATTTGCATACTTACCCAGCGTCAGTTTCTCGCCCGAATCCGGGGGCAATGTGAAGCCCAGCAGGGCCATCGATGATATTAGCACGCATGGCACAATTAAATTGAAAAAATAATATAAAGTACGTCGGCGTATTTGTATAGTAAAGGTGATATCGACATATGGTTCTGGGCAGCACTGGTAGACTATAGTATTCTTCTTTCCCGGCATGGCTGAACGATAAAACTCACGATTAGTTAAATTCGAATCAATCAATTTGATTGCGACATTGAGACACACAAATACACACACATACATATGTACAAATACTTGCAATTTGCATTTTTTTTAAATCTATATATCTATGTACAAAATGAAATTGTTAATCAAAGCGGCAGCAACTGAAAATGTTCTATGAAGCAATTTTGATAAAGCGCCAAGCGAAAAGTTGCTACTTCATATTAATTTATATGCATATATACAAACTTAATTTAAAAAAAAAAATAAAACATGATTATAAGTTATTGATTAGGTTTAAGGTTAATGATTGTGTTAGACATTTACACATGACAACGTTAAGAAAACAGTGGAATAAGCATTCGGTTTATGATGATTTTTACTAACCAAGCAAGTACCACTCGCCATTTGTTATGAAATCGGAAAGATCCCCTCCATCTTCGGAATTCAAAACCAAATCCAACTGATATATTTCAACGATTATTTTTTTTTTTTTCAAAAAATTTGTTTGACATTTTTGTAGACAAACGAATTTTCATTTTATTAGTTAATGTTAGGTTGGGTATTGTTTTGAGTTTTTTGGTTTTTTTTTTCATTGTTTGGAGAAAAAGAAATTTATCATTTTTAGTTTGATTTATTAATATGTTTGAGAATTTACTTAAAGCCACGTTGAAACAACATTTATGTACATAAGAGAGCATGTGTTCAAGGTGTACGAGCGAGAGATATAGAGAGCAAAACAGAGCTTACATTTTTTTTTTTTTTTTTTTTTATATATATACTTATATATGCTATTGCGTTTTTAGTGCAAAGAAACGTGGAAATAAAATTAAATTGTACTGAAAACCTCATATATTTGTTTGACTTCCATTAAGAGTCTTTACGTACGTCCAAAATAGTTCGATTTAGTATTTTTTTTGGGCGTGGTTTTGGTCTGCTAACATGCAAAATAGTTGAAACTGAAATTTTTCAGCTGTTGTCACATAGGACGAAAAATTTCAAGGGTCTCACACATGATTCCATTTCTTCGCAGCACTATTGTGTCTCGTGCCAGTGTTGGTAAACGCTAACAACTAACTGCTTGTACAGCTGGCAGCAGACAAAGTGCATTATCTGTTTTTTGGTTTTTTCTGTTTCTTATTGAAGTGTTGACCTAAAATGTTCAATGCCTGATTGAACATTTTAGCCAGCACGCTGGAACGTATTTCGCGTGCTTTGAGCACATTTAACTTTTTGGTTTTGTAATTCGCAAAAACGCAAAGAACTGTTCGACGTGAGGGATAAGACAGAGAGAGAGATACAGCGAGAGAGAGACAAAGATACTGATATATAAATTAAACTGGAAGATAGTTTGAGATAGAGATATAGAGTTTTGAAAAGCATAAACGAAAGCAGGGAGCGCCAAATGACTCTAGGGGTTTTCCATTTATAACGTCGAGCCTCAGTGTCCTGAACTAACCTAAAAGGTCAATTCCCTCTAATCCTGCCTAAATGGTATAACCGACTTTCTGCTTGTGCACGTGCACGTGTCTTTTGTGCGTGTCTTAGTTAGTTTTTCAGTGTATGTGTGTGCGTGTTTGTGTGTTAGCAAAAAGCGTGATTGTGACGTCTTGTGAATGTGTGATGTTTTGCTGCACTGCCAAACAGTTTACTGTACCAAGTACGGATTAGCTCTCTTGGTGTATACTGTACTGTACTGTAACTGTGTACTAAACACTTTACCTGATTTCCATCGTAAGTCCAACTACCGAATTTCATTTCGCAATGTTGGTCATCAAATGGGAACCACGTGATGTCTATCTTGCATGTGCTCTTGAAGATACCAGGGGGCACGTACAGACAACTGCCGTTATGTTTGACCACAATGTTGGTGTGATACGTGCCATCGAATCCCTCATCCGCGCTAAATTATTGTACAATATTGTTTATGTATTATTATATTTTTGCTGTTGCTTCTTATTTTCTTCTTTTTGTTGGTCTATTCTTTTATTTGATTTGTTTTGTTGTTGGTTCTATTTATTAATGTGTTATTATTTTTTAAGATTGTTATGTTTTTTTTTTTTTTTTTTTTTTCATTTATTGTTTATTATTTTTTTTTCGTTTTATTTCAAATGCGCATTCTGTTGTTTTTTTCTTTCAGCTATTTTATATATATAAAAAAAGGTATTTGGATATGGCCTTAAGAGAGCTTTGGGAACTAGGAGATTTGTGTGTTGGTTAAGTGTAGAATAGGAGAGCTTGGGATTTTCTATGCTAGGTTTATGTTTTTGGTTGGTGTTGTAGTGTTCAGTTTTATGCTAGTTATGATATACGTACTACTTATAATATTTTCTATTTTGGGCTTATAAGCTAAGGAGCATACATATATATATATAAATATAAAATACTTAAATTTTTTGGGTTTTTGTTTCTCTTTTCAGGATCGGTAAATAATCTAAAAACAACCTAAGGTATTTATAAATATATATTTACAAACTATACAACAATATGATGCAGAACTTGCTTGAGATAGAAGGGAAACATTTTCTTTAAGAGAATGTGATTTGCGAGACAAGAAATTGAAAACGATTATCTTTTAGTTTGGATAATTTATGCAACAACACTTAAATTTATTCAAAAATAGTTGGGACAAGGCAACAGCGCTTAATATCTGCTAGTACATAGTTGTACACAATTTGTTTTCATATTTTCCATTTATATTGTGTGCCAAATGGCATTTCCATTGTCAGCACATTTTGGCTAAGCAAATAAAATCTGTTAGATACAATAACTGTATCTAACTACATTCCGTATCTGTGTGTGCATATGCAAATCAGGAGCATACAATATGCAAGTGTGTTGAAGTCAAACCCAGACTCAAGTGGCCTACACCATATATATACAATATATAAAAAGATATACGAGTATTTTCGTTCCTTCCATGGCAATAAAATGCAATTACTTTTATTTTTTCGAGTGGGCTTTTTGGCGGTGTGCGGGTGTGTCAAGAGACGGTCGAAAAACTGTTGCGCAATTTGCATAGATATTTTGAGTTACGAGCTGTTTGCTGTCATTTGGTGTACTTTTTGCGGTCAACGTGACTTGTACGCAATCTATGTGTGTGGGTGTGTGTGTGTGAGAGTGTGTGGCTGTGCATGTTAGGATGCGACCCACACACATACTTCCACACCCACGCACCTTCAATCATGGCTGGATTGCGATTTGCGGTTAAAGTGCGCATTTAATTAGCGCCGCATGGCACCTGTGTCTATGGGCGTATGGGCGTGGTCAGCTGGAAGCTTACATGCTATTGTTGTGACATTTAAGTGGAATTTGTGCCCCGATTAGCGGCTGCTGTTAACATGTGCAAGGCACATTGCCACAACAGCAGCGCGGCGAGGCTTGAGAGATTGTGGCCTGAGCATACGGAGGCGTGCGAATAAGCCAACAACAACAACTGCAACAATTTGACTAATTGAGGCAACAACAATTGTGGCATTCATCAAATTGTTAGCTGATGTTCACAAGTAAGAATATTATAAACAAGTTCAAATGAGCTTCGAAAAAGCAGAGGAAAATAAAAATATTCGACAAATTTAGAATATTTACACATGTCGATATTAAGTCAATCTGGGCATGGCTCAAAGTGTTATCCAATATTAAAATTAGTTCCGCTGTCATTCTCATATATATTCCCAATCTTATCATATCTGCAACATGGTAATGTCTACAAGGGTATTATATCCTTAGTTATCTTATCCTTACCTTTTTTTTTTTAATAAATATGCAATACTAATCAAGATTTCAGTAAAAAAATAAGTCATGTTTTAAATAAGTTATGGAAGCTACCTTTAAAAATATAATTAATAAACTTTCTCAATATTATGTTTTCAACATTTGCTGCCGGTTTCAATTTATACTTTTTTTTTAATCTAGAGCTCATATATGCCAATTTTTTTCTCTTTGTCTATTGACAAATCAATTTTCATTTAATTCATCAAACGAACAAAGCCTGCGTTTTTTATAAGACATTCAATTCAGTTATCAGCTTATGCTAAACCTTTATCAAACCTGTATTTATTTCTGAGAACCATTTTTTACATTTAAATTGCGAAGCAGATTTTATTATTTGAATGTGAAAGATTTGGAAGTGTTTTGTATTAGCCATGGCCTTGGCCAAGCTGAAACAAATAAATAAAATCATTGCCAGGGCATTATTAAAATTGATGTTGGTTTTGACCTAGCCGGGGGCAGGAAACCGACAGAGAAAGTGGGAGAGAAATGGTCTACGCCTCAGTTGGCTAAGCCACAACCGCTGTCAATTTCATTTGGGCGCGAAGGCCGCTTTTCTCTGTTTTTACTTAGAAACTTGCACATGCTTTGTAATCTGTTTACGGCATTTACCAGATAACATTGCAATTAATGTGAAAGCTTTTCGCTAAGAATTGGCGTTCTTATGACCTAATACAAAGGGTATTATGAATTTTTCATAAAGTGTGTTACATATTGAGCGTTGCCCATTTTATGCCACAAAGTGGTCTAAAATTGCACTGAGATGTGATTCAAATCGTGCTGGATTACGTTTTGGCAGAATACTTTATCATATATTTTAACTGATTCGTACGATTCGTATTTCACACTATTATCATTTGATAATGTCTCTTTTTTTCACATTTTTACAACATAAATGTCAGACTTGGCCAATATAAGGGTAGACTTTTGGTAGTCAAAAAAATCTAAGCACAAGTCAATCGATAAAATTATTCGTACTTAGCCAAAATTAATCGAAGCGTATTTAAGCTTCAGCAGTTTCTTCTTTTTTCTGCCTTTGGCTTAAAGTCCAGCCTGTGTAAAAAGTATCACAATTAAACATCTTTCAGATTGAGATTCGTACAACGCACATTGAAATCAGCATAAATAAAATTACGAAAATTCCAAGCTGGTCAGATTGATGTGCAGAAGGCGTTGATGGGCTCCAACGAACCAAAAAAAAAAAAAAAAAAAAAATTGGAAATAAAATCCCACAAGGCCATATATATACGTCTTCAGTAAATGTGTGTGTATATCTGCCAATGTATTTGTATCCTTAACTGTAACTGTATCTGTATCTATAAGCCTTGTTCGTCGTGCTATTGATCTAAATGATGGCCGCACATTAGCAGCGCTGCCGACGCATACAAATTAGGCTGGGCCAGCTCTCGTTCTGGCCATGGCCAAGTCGAAAAGAAAGCTGAATTAATAAATTAAACCAAATGAAAGTCAATCGCAATGTGTTCCCAAATATGTTTGCGACACACGAAACGCCCAAACGTGTGCAGCTTTTGAATTCGCTTAAATAAGCTTCTAATAGGCTTCTCTGAAATATTGTTAAGCTCTTAATGGGCATTGCTATTATTTTTGGCGAAATGGGCGTGAAATTGTTTCATGGAAATGCCCCAACGCTAACGTCGCCCTGTGCAAGTTCATTAGTAAATAAAGTTGACAGTCAGTAGGTTGTTGCGAGTGGATGCTTCGAGCGTGTACAGCCACGCCCAATGTTCTGGTCCTAGTCCATGGCTCTATACAGTGATTTACCCTGGTTGGAATGCGGCTACAGAACGAATCGATATGGTATCTTGGCCTTTTGCATAGATACTGTCCGGAACTTGCGTAGGCCTTGCGGCATTGTCAAGCAGCTCGCGTGGTCTATAGTCCGACCGTAATCAACACCGGATGCTGCGTGCCAGGGAAATTAAAGCCAGCACTACGTGTGCCTGCACATTGTGTGGGCCGATAATATCATGCCCACGTTTGGCTTTTAAGCCTTTTGTTCTTGACTGGCATCTAAACGTTCGTAAATCCTGACATCAATCAGCCGTGCAAAAGGGTATCCAATGCAGTGTAATTAGCTGAGGAAAAAATTTTGACACTACGCCAGGTGCATTTTAGCCACAATTTTGTGCAGCTGCCATATTTATCCTCATTTGTGTGTCCCCTACGCCCGCTCAGCTTTACGCGCTTTTTAGATCTGTACCGGCACCAAGGGGATTTGCGGCATTTAAGTAGTTTTTAGCCATTACAGTTGGTTACATTTTTTTTGCTGGCTCTGACATTTAAGTAATGGCTTAAAATGTTTCAGTTCATCTGGCTGCTTAAATAATGTGGCATAAAAGCTTTTTGCCATGAAGCTCAAAAGTATGCAATGCTTTCTTTTGCTGACACTGCGCAAAAGTTAATGAAATAAATTGTGGAAAATACTTTGTAAAATATTCGAAAAAATTCTGCAGTTTTTATGCCAAAGCGACTTACGAAGTATCAGAATGACGCGCAAAGTGCAATCGACGAATTGCGTTTGGAATATACTTTGTATGAAGGGAAAATAAATGTTTTGAAGGAAAACATTTTACGAGAAAAACTTATTTTTATTTTAACGTTTACGAATGAGGCACAGAGCAGAATCGAAGAAAATTGAATAGTTCGAGGTTGTAATGCGGTTGTAGCGTTCAAATATACTTTGTATATCAATTGAGTATGATATATAAGCAAAATTGTTTATTTGCAGTTTATAATTTAAGAATAACTTCCAAACAGAAATATTGTTAATCAATTGCTCTCGAAAGAAAAAACGAGATAAAAAGAGCACAATGTGCCGAGAGAGGAAGAGAAATATATTTGTACACAAGAAATGGTTAGATGAGTGCTTTTTGATATTATAATAACAACCTTAAACAGATATTCTAGTTAAATTTAAGATACTCGAACACAAATATTTAAGCCCGAAACCCTAGCACACAGCCCACAGAATTGCTATTGAGCTACTTCTACAGCTCAACATGCAAACATACACTCGTAAATTTCCTGTTGTGTATGTGTAGAATGTTTATTTGTGATTGTAAATTTAAACTAGGCTGACATGCAACTAAGCTGAGCTTACAACAAAACTTAAAGTAACTAAGAATAACCTAATGAATCGACAAATGGTTCGATTTGATTTGAGTTCTGTTGTCAATTCAAATTAAACCGATTGTTTGTAGTAAATAGTTGTTGTTTGTTTGACGCAAATGTATAAAGACGTACGATTATTTGGCGGCACACATATACATGTAGATTTTGGATTGGGTATAACAATTTCTTAGTTAACAGCTATACATAATGTACATATATGGATATTATTTGTGTGGTTATTGATGGGTTAGTTATAATTGACAATCCACTAAAATTTGAAGTATGAAAATATTTATATAGACACAGTGAAACACAGCAAGAACGTACAATAGCACACGTATATCAACAATGATAACAATTGATTACTTGGTTAATAGGTAAACACACTCACACACACACACACACACACACACACACACTCATACACATACATACACACACAAGCATACACTCTCACATTAATAGCAATACGCCGATGCAATGAGTTGAATGAAAATGATATGGAATTGTAATTATTGTGTGGGCATTTCACTTGCATTTAGTCAATAATCAGAAAGGCAGAAAAACGCGAAAAAAACACACACATCAAGTACTTGTGGTTGCAGTTATTCCCTGCAAATTAAGGGAAAAAGGCAGCTTGAAAGTAAACTCCCTTAAACTTTTTTATGCATATGTTTAATTTTTTTATAGGAAAAAACAATATTCAATTTGTTGCAAATTTTCTATATTATGATGTTAATTAAGTATCATTTTAATTAATTATCTAATGAGTATTGATATGCATATTGCAAGAAGACATCTTAGAAGCCATCGGAGCCAATTGCAGGATATGTGATAGTCGAGCACACTTGACTGCTGCTTGTCACGATGAGCATATGATACATGTTGTTGCATGTGGGCAGGGCGTAATTAGCGTATTTTTTTCAACTATATCAACTAGACACACAGATACATACATACAGTAGACACATACATACACATAGATATAAAATACAGTTAGTTATAGCTGGGCTTTTAATAGTAGTAGGGCATGTTTGTATGTTTGGCACATGGACTAAGTGAAAGCAAATGGAAATAAAGTTTTGCGCAAAAATTTGTACTTATTGTTGAGTGATTGATACGTGAATTAGGCAAAAGTTTGTCTGCATTTGGAGCGTGATTCGAATATCAGCATTTAGCGTATAATTCATTGATGAGCTGTACCATAGAAATAAAAAAGTTGGGCACGAAAGAAATAAGCGAAAAAGCAGAATCTGCTAACTATTTGGCACGAAAGAGTCTAAGTTTGTGCAGGAGAATAATTGAGCACGTTTTTACTCAGTTTTTCGATTTGCAGTTTGCAAGTTTTTAGCCTTGAAAAAAGATGTTAGAGTAAGTCTTAGAATAGCGTATTTTATTAAGATAGAAATTGTTCTCTAATATATTTTATGGGAAGAGGCATAACATAGATTTCAGCTTATTATATTTCATTTAAATATAACTTCAAAGAAGTAAAAGTTCAATTTCAAGTTTGATTACCGGTTGTGAATCTGGGAGAACAATTTTAATTTGCAACTGGAACTTAGACCTTGTAAAAATTATCGTCGGGTTGAATTCTCGACAGATATAGCTCACCTTAGCATCGGCTAGCCGAGCAGCTGGTTTTTAGCTATGACTCCTTTTGTTAATGTAAGACTTCTTTTTGAGATGTTTCAAGATTGAAAAGTGCCATGTTTCACTCTCGTTTCGAGCAGCTTAAAAATGAAAATGATTTTAAGGAGCTGCGTTTAATTTAACTCTAACTAAAGCGTTTACCGACTTAAATATGTATGAGAGTAGTTTAAGTATTTTTTATATAATTTGGTTATTTTAAGTGTATGTATTTTTTTAAATATGTTATCTAAAGTGTGTTGTTGTATGTGGTTTGGTGTGTGGGATGTGGGTTAGCGTTTAACAAAATGGTTGGATATGTATTTATTAGAAGTGCCAACAAAGTCCAAGTTTTGTTTGGGCACTTGATTTTTTAGTTGGTATGGAGGGATTTTAGGTTTTTGGTACTTTTTTTTTTCATTGGTATTATTTATATATGCGTTTTTATTTAGTTTGTTTAGTACGAGGGATTTGATTTCTCATGCACAATACTTGAAAATCTATTTTGCCTTTGAGTTTGTGTTTTTTGCAAGCTACAACAAATACGAGTATAACAAAAAACATTTTATTGTCTTGTTTCCTCTTTTCTTTGCTTTATTTATTGTTTATTTTTTAGGATTTGGCCAAATAAATTCAAGTACTGAACGTCTAACCAGATATATTACACCAGCATATTGTTGAACAATTTCTTATGTTGGTTATTGTCTATTACTTTTTTTTCCATTTCGAAACTAAGTACTGAGAGATAACAATATACTACGTATGCATAAGCTACATATGGAACAGATCACATGAGATTAAATGCGGATCTGTTGAGGTATGAGAATTAGGAATTTTCGATTGTTTCGAACAAACTACTTGCATAATATTCTGGTTAAACAATGTGTTTAAAGTTCATGGAGTTTAGTCTGAGTTTTATTTAGTTTCTCACTTTTTTCGATTAGAGTTTTTTTTTATTGTTATTGTTTATTAATATTTAGATGTTACAGATTATATATGTACGTTCGGTTAGCATTACGAATCCAATTACAATGTGAGGCCCACATCAACGGCAAGCTGACAATGTACAGTCCCACTAGAACACCACTGCGTGTAAACTACTCTTATTTGAAGTAAACATTTTCATGTTTTGGTTTAAAAATGTATAGATTTTTTTTTTTTTTAATTTAAGTCGTTTGTTCAACATAAACATTAAAAGCAAATCAAAATTTTTGGTTAACATTGAAACACAAATACATATAACTAAAACAAAAACATAGTCGATTATGTTTAGGTTTCGGCTTTGCGTTTTATAATAGGTACACACACAAACAATAGCGAGTGGATTATGATACGTTTATAATAGGTCAGGAATACATATTATATATAATATATAAATCTATTTTTTATAAAGCAAGTTTGCGCTTTGGCAAACAAAAATTAAAAATAAACGAGAACAAATGTTCAGCTATAATTAAAAAAAAAAGACGAACGCACAGCATTAAATATTGGACGATTTCTTTTGCAGGAGCAATGGAAATTTATTTCAGTTTTGATATATCGTTTTCAACATTTTGTTTATGCAGAAAAATGCTATTTTTCATCGATTCAAAAAATAATACAGTTTGCAATTTGTTTACGACGAACGAAGTGCAGCTTAATTTAAATTTAAATTGCAGTTTTAAGAACTGGCAAGCATTGTAACCGTATTTTAAAGACCAAAGACAAATATATGCATTTGTAATTTAATTCTCATTTAATTATAAAATAGAAATGCCAACGTTTTTAGGTGCAATTGGTCACACTGTTTTAAATATGTTTTATCTCCACTTGTAATATAATTACTCTTTTTTTTTTTTGTTTTTGCTGATATTTATGAAAATGATTATAATATTTCGAAATTCCATCGCTCCTTTTGGGAAAAACCAACATAATAAAAAATTCTCAAGGAGTCTATTGCTTACATAATCTTTAGTCTATCAAAAAAATAAGCCAAAAACAAACATTCCGTTTTAACAACTAATGTGCACAAACCAGCTACAAGAATATTTAATGGTTATTATATAACTTAAATCAGGAAACTGTAACGCTAGAACCAAAATATTCAATCGACTATCATAAGATTTATAGTTTATAATCTTCATCTGGCATAGTTATTGTGGCTATAAAATCGTTATATACACTTACCATTGAGTCTTTAATATGGTAAAATATATATGTGCTTGGTTAAGGCTTGGTATTTTATATTTAATACCTTAAGAACAGTCGAAAAGTTTCACTGCTTTCACAGTTTAATCACTAAGTAGCGCAATGTCAAAAGTTTTGATTTCTTGTCGTTTATTGGTTTATTGGGCGTTATTGCATTAGCTAGTTGTGAGCATTGACCCATGTGCATGGGCCACAAACTGGACACTTGGGGGCACTTACCTATTGTACATGAGCACATCGGGTTTCCACAGTTTATTGGGCGTAATTCGCAAATCCTTGACGCCGCCATATTCCGTTTCGTTCCAGCGCAAATTATAATCGTTCCATTCCTATATTGTATATATATAACAAATTTTAGTAATGGTAAAATAATTGTTGTTAGTTATAGACTATTAAAAAGAACAGAAGGGTAAATTATATAGCGACGTGATGTGATAAGAAAGTGAGACAAGAGACACACAGAAACTAAGTATAGGCTCTATAGAACATATAAACAAATGAAACTAAGTAATGCTGAGCACATGCACAAACAAACGGGCACATAATATACAACAGTGCTATGTTATAGCTATGTTAAATCACTGTAAAGGTCTATGGTAAGCTGTTTCGTTGTTATTAAACACATACTTAACATTTACAACAACATGACAGCAAAATTGAAGCTAAGTTCTTGCAGATGGCCACACAAGACGCACAACTACATACACAAGCGCACACACACACGTACGCACACACACTTGACAAGTTTTATCAACATTTTGTTTGCTGTTTTTATACCCTTGCAAAGTGTACTATAACTAAGTAAAGACAAGGAGAGAACATCATAAATTAATCGTGCTAAAAGAGCTTAGTACTTCTGTCCGATTGTCTCTTTGAAAACAGGATAATCTATTGATTATGATCCGTTAACGGCGAATTGAAGAATGTAAATATGTCGAAGATCGGATTGCTGTGATAATATGCTACAAGGGGTTTTGTAGTTTTATGAATTTAGAAATTTACTTATGTAGGGTATATAAACTTTGGTGCTATAGAGTCCCCTTTTGTTGCTATTGTCATGTGAACGCGGCTGCTTGATCCTGCAACATTCCGTTCACGACTGTTCTGACTTGTGTCGCACTATCTTTTGCCCCAGGACGAGCACTGGCAGGAGCACGAGGCATTTGGCACAGGACTAGGCTCAGTGGCAGTGCTTTGTGTCATTTTGCGGTCGACTGTTTGTTGTTGTTTTTGTTGTTGCTTGTTGCTCTGTTGCTGCCACATGCACATATACATACACGCATTTCGCAACTTTGCGCTTTGTGGCCTCGCCTACAAGTGGTTCTTGTCATAAAAGCGGCAAAGTTTTTCCTCTAGTTTTCCTCTTGGTTATTACACTTCTGCTGCTGCTGCTGCTGATGTTCTTGTTGTTCTTGTTGTTGGTGTTGTTGCTGTGCTTTATAATTTACACACACCCACATACATTTGTGGCATTTTTAGAGCAAGCAATTGTCTTGCTGCCTCTTTGCAACAAATCCCTTTTTAAATCACACAAAACAAGAAAAAAAAAAACAAAAACAAATAAAAAAATTTAATTACATGCCATGACATTGCATTAAATTATATATGGTAGATATATGCTCGCATATATACTATTCGGATGCGTCTGCTTGGCTTTAAAAACTTTTTACTTTAGTGCTGTTATTGTGTGCGGTTTTATGACAGCTGTAAAAACAGATGACGGTACACACTAACCGCACAGATATATAACCAATTTTTCCGACAACTCCCTCGGATACCCAAACTCTGTAGCAAATTGAACCACGCATTACGCAATTTTGTGGCATAGGCGAGTGAGATTTTCATGCTCTTCACAATGGCAATTAGTTTTTGGATAATTATATTACACTTCAAAATTTCTATTGTTGGTTATGTTACGGCAACACGGATTTTGTATAGAATTTAGAACTAATCTAAAACAGATATATAGTTTAGGTAATAATAAATTTTTTCACACGTATTTTCATTTTCATAACCCAACAGAGTTTCATTTCGTTTGTGCTGCTTTTCACGCAATCTTATAATCTGATACCATATATAACTTTTATTTTCAAATTGCACTCATTTGTTTGACGAAGTTCAATTTATTGCTTAATATCTTTAATGTTTCAGTTTCAGTTGTTTCACATAATTTTTTGGTGTCAGCTTTTTGAAAGCCCTCTTTTTGCTGCTCAATGCCACAAATTCGGAAATCAATTTGTGTTGCAATTCCATTCGTTTTCTATTAAGTCCCCCCTTCGTGGTCTTAGCTTAGTTGTGGTTTAAAAGGAATGACAATTTATGATGTCCCATTTGTACTTGACTGTGGCAGTGCTCGAAATTTGTAGGGCCCGAATGTCGCCTAAATTTACGCATGTCGCTGCACCACTCCCCGCTCGCCACCTGTCCATTAAAACGAGTGGAAAGGCACTTTATAACGATTCGTTTGAGTCATGTAGATTTGCAGGGTGGCCTTTCATTGTGAAAACATTTAAATTACAAAATTGCTGGAAATTGACAAACATTTTCAGGACATTTCAAACTGTCAGTTAATAAATGACACATAAGCCATCAATCAAATTGCCAATTGTGGAATACTTCGAATCCAAAATGACAACAAAACGTTGCATGAATCACATTTTGGGAGGTTCTTTTTTTTATGTTGCCCCTGGACAATACCGAAAATTACAAATTACAGGCCGCACATCGTACAACACATATGTTGCGGATCTTGGCTTAATCATGGAGATAAGTGGGGCGCGGAGTGAAGGGCTGGTTTCAATGTGTTAAATAAATAATTTAATTAATTTCACAAATTGACAGAAATTGACGAGCGTTTCCACAAGCCCTATGCCGGATATAAGCATGAGGATTTTATAAAAAAAAAATCATGTAACATTTACCCATTGCGTTTCCGTTCAATAATTCGCAATATATCATATTTTATAGCACGCACATACACACACACACACACACACACTCGTGTCACATGCGTAGTATAAAAAAAAAATAAAACTATGTTTAAGACATGCGATACCTAGTTAAATTTTGTGGGCTTATAGCACATTGTAATTTTGTACAATTTTGTATTTCCTTTTCTCATGCAAATTTGTTGTTTTGTTCATTTGTTGTTGTTGCTGTTTAGAGTTTTTGTTTGTTTGCTCCGTACATTGTTTATGTGTTTGGTTTTTAGTTGCTCTTAATAATAAATGCCAAAAGAAAATTTGTTAAAAACTATAAATTAATATTATATTTGGCAGCAGCTAAACCTAAAAACTTAAAGTTTATAATATATTTTTGAAAAGCATTTAAAGCTACTTAAAAATGTATTCGAAAACTAAATAGTAGAAGAATAAAATAGGAAATCAAACTGCATTATGCTTTAGCTAGTTAAAGAGTTTAAAATATGTTCTTTTTTTGTTTTTGTTTTTTTTTTTTTTGTGTAATAATGTAGATATATTTAATAAAGCGCATTGATTTAAAAATGTATATATTTAATTTCAATTGTATTTAGGGCATGAGGTTTAAATAATTTATCACACACTTACTAAGCCACGCAATCAAGCTAAAAAGTTGGCTCAGTTTGAAATGTTACTATAGAGAGTTAATGGAAAATAGTTGAAGCTTTACAAAAAGTTGGGGGGGTAGAAGAGAGTTGGATTTTCGAATATACAAAAATTGAAAGTTTCCGGAACGCAAGGTTCCTAATAGTTAAACTGGTTATAGAAGAAGTTCAAGAAGTTCGGGCTTATAAACATTGAGTGCTATTCGTACAACTCTTAGCATAGGGTATGGCCGTGTGTGTGTATAAATTATAAGCAGGCAAAAAAAACATTTCATTAGCTATGCCTAGCAGCCCGACTAACTACGGAACTATAGATGATCCCTTAAATTAATATACAGATTTGTGGCATATATTTAAACAGCTGCTCAGCATAGCTAATGAAAGGTTTATTTGTACTATTTATGATATGGTATTTAAAGCATATGAATTATTTAACGTAATGCTATATTTAAGTTTTTTATGTTTAAACCATTTTTGAGTTTAAGTTGAAACTTACCAACGAAAGCCAAAGATTCGTTATAAGTAGTTGGTTTTTCTCGTCCTACAAACGCGTTTTTATAAAATTTGTTTACATCAACGTAAAATAGAAATTAATAAAACACAAAAAATCAATGAAGTATACAAAAGGAGAGAAAATATAAGTTAATCAAAGGCAAAAGTTAAAAAGAGCAGAGCATGATAATAGAAAGTTTTTATATATATTTGTTTTATGAGTTTATAAGAGATATTTTCTTTTTTTTTTGTCTTTTTTCTTTTATTATTATTTGTATTTATGGTTTTTGTAAGACTTTGTTTTGTTTTTGATCCTTTTTTAATAAGCCTTTGCTTACGATTTGGCTTCAATGTGCTTGGCCTATGCATTTTTGGAGGCTATGTGCAGCTAAAGTTATGTTAGGTGTTGCGCAATTTTAGGTTAAGTTTCAGTTATGAATCGAATTTCATGTGTTTTTCTATTGAAATTGAATAAAAGCTCATGTAATTAGCTTGTCGCAGGCACAAAGACCTAATCAAATAGCACAAAATGTATAGAAAAGCTATCAAAACTTTGTTAGCTCGCACAAAGCTGCCTTGGCCTTGGTCCTGCAACAAAACTCAATGCTCAATTTTAAGCTGCTGGTTGGCACAGGCCGATTTCTTTTGTGTCCATTGTGCCAATTTGCTTAGCATTTTATCGGATGTGGGCATGTCAGTGCAATAAAAAACTTTGAACTAGCCATTGTAGGTATCAAAACCCATTTATCTTTATACAAATTTTAATTAAAGATATTTCATGCTGGTCTATTGTCACTCAAACGTAGACAGGCAGTCTGTCAAATGTATGTATATTGTGAAATTTAATATGTCGTTCAAGCTGGTTGCGGCAATTGTCGTTTGTAATGTACATATGTAGATATATGAAGTTCCAACCCCTGCCATTTCCCTTACCCGAATCACTGCCATTTTCATTTGACTGGCATCTGCATATGAAAGCCAGGCGCTGAGGTGACTTCTGTCATTAATAACTTGCCAGTTTAAACAACAACAGAAAAAATGAAAACAAAAATGGAAAATCGTTGTGGCCAACAGCAACAACATCTACATTTTGGCCCAGTTAGTGCCTGACAGCAGCTGCAGTAACGACTTGAGCCATTAAAAGATACAAGGAGTAGGTAGAGAGATAGAGGGAAGCCAACCTGACAGCCGTTTGGTTCAGGATATTTCGGCGCTGCTTCTGTAATGATATGCAGGGTGGGATCCGGGTACGGG